TAAATGTGCGCATGTTTTTATGTGAGACCTTAAAAGGGCAAGTGGAGGTGACTGATTACCTCGGCTTGCTCTGTTTAATCGAATGCAGACTATGTGCCTGTGGCTAGGACAGTTCTGTGCTGGCACACACAGCCCATCAGTGGCTTGTGTATAGCATTCAGCTATTTGGAGTAATTGCAGTGAAAATATTTTTTCCCCTCTTTCAGAGATACAAAAGCCGTTGATCCGCCTAAGGGTGCAAACAATCTTCTGCAATCTGACTTCTGATTGGTAATCTAGCTCCTTCTCCTGGTGTCCCCCCGACCCACCCAACCTAACACCCCGCTTTTGCAATTCTTTCAGGATCCTCATTTCTCTTTCGTGCCAGTGGCTGTCCTTATATTCTTCTCCCTCTGTCTTCTAAGAGTGTGAAGGAAATATTTTTGGAACAGGTGTAAGATCATTTACACCTCTGCAGTGGAGAGGAAGAAGCAGCAAAGGCAGCATACACAAGGTTATTAGAAATAAGCAGAGTTTTTGCTAGTTGGCAAAAATATGTGAGTGGTTGAGGTATAATTTTTAGCTCTGTTAGGAGCTAAGGAGTTATTAAAAGGAACGAGAGTTCTGATACAAAAGCTTTGACTAAACCACATTCCTGGCTTGTCAGCAAAATAAATTATAAAAATAATAAATGCATCAGCACTGAAATATTAATCACAGGATATTCATTAGGTTTTCCAGACAGAAGACATTTGGGTCGTGCTAGGTGTAAATAATAAAATGAATGGCCGTGAATGCTGGGGCACTGTCACAATGTCGAGCCTCACTGGAACATTTGAAGAGAACAGAGCCCTTCATTAATGATACTAGTACTGCGATTACTCCGTGACAAGTCAAAACCATCTTTTCTTGGCCTGCGAAAGATCAGCTTAACAAATTAATTCTCAACAGGTGGCTCACGCACACATTGCAGCCTTCTCACTAGGCCGATTATTTTTAGATTTTAGTTTGATGTTTGTGCTTTTTTTTTTTTTAATTTTACAAGGGGGTCCTGCCTAGTGCGAGTGAGATGGAAGCTAATGAACTGCCCAGTGCTCTGATCCTGGATTCAATAGCTACTCATGTGGCAATTTTGCAAAATTCATTGTTAATATCAGGGACGGCTGGTATGAATGGGCGGACGAGCTAAGCTCTCCCTATCCTTTTTAATAAAAAATAAATATATATATATATTTGTATATATATCTAAAATCATCTTAGAACAGATTGCTTAAACGCTGGTGTAACAAAGTGCAGCAAAACACCAAGTCGTCCAAAGGAAAAAAAAAAAAGACAAACACAGGATTTAGCTACATGAGCTAAATTTTTACAGCCCATGCTCCGCAGCATCATCCACCATTCATCTTCATAGAGCAGTGAGTGACAGGTGTCAGTCAGGTCACGCCCCTTTGATTTGGTGACCGTTTGGGCTAGTTCAGCCCAGAGGCGGGAACTTTGGCGAAGGAGTCTTCTGTGAGAGTCTCGAAGGCGAAATCAATATGGCGGCACCGGTGAGCATTAGCAAGAACGAAGTGGATTATTTATGTAGTCGTCCATTTCCTTCTGTCTTTGGAGGAAAAAGTGTAAGTGAAGAGAATGGGACCACATCATCCAAACGATGTTCAAATAACACAAAGGGACAAACGACAGAATTATAAATTTTGTGTTATGTGGTTTCAACAAAGGACTGGCTAATTGCATGTTTAGTAGGAATTCACATTACTGTTTCCCTGGCCTGCTTTTTGGAGGACACACAACTTGGACTCAAAAAGGAATTGTGGATTTGAAGCATTTATCTGACTAAGTCACACTGGAAATTGTGTAAAGCTATCAGTGTTTGCTAAAGTTAACATTGCCTGTATGAAGGACACCGCATTGCTATACAGAGACACAACGAGCTAGTAAAAAAACAAACAAAAACGGAAAACAGGCATTCACTATCACGGACTGTATTAAATTTTGTGGGGCACATGTGCTAGCTTTACGGGGATCAGACGAATCTCCGACTTCCATTCAGCAAAGTGTGTTTCTGGACGTCCGCTTTGCTGGGGATGCACAATTACTTTTCTTATCTTGTTTTCATGCTTGTTGATATTTTATACAACATTCTTCAAAAACGAACTACGGATCCTTTCAGAACCAGACAGAAGAAGTTTTCCTACTCCATCGGTGAACTGAAGAGGTGACCTTCATAACCAGAGGCATATGCAGCTGAAGCTGCAGCAAGGCCGCGCAGGATGCGGCGGGCTGACAACGTCAGTAGCAGCACAGTGCTATGAAATATTGATGGAGCAGTCAAAGGCACGCTTTGAGAAAGCACAGCACTTGGTGTCATTTGACTTCAATGACAGGGTGATTAACATGTTTGCATCCCAGAAAACTCAACGATGTGATCTTCTCTTCAAATAAGGTAAGCTCACCACCCTCTCCCCTTAAAATAGGTAACATGCTTCTTTCCCGTTACCTGTTACTCTTCTTTAAAGATCAATATTTTTGTCTGTGGATACCAACTCCTTTTATTGGTGAAGTGTCGTTTGAGTCGGTATGTTGTATAGTAGTGATATTGCAATTGTAGTCTATTGGCAGATTTTACATTTTTAAGTACATCCGTGGCTGCATCAACAGAACTTGAATAGATTTTTCTGGCGTTCTGATCATTCAGCTGTCATTCTTCCTTCTTGCATATTTTGTTTTTGTAAAAACAAAAAAAGGCATGTGTTAATGTGTATAAAAACAACTAGTCAAAAGGCGTGTGAGAGTGTGTGTGACTGGCATTCTGAGTATTCCTCTATATGGTTTTGTTAGTGTTGCTTTGACAAGGTCTTGTGGCTGTAATGTGGTATCAAGGATGTGATGCTGCTGCTAGTAGTGTGAACTCTATAATGCATTTGTTAGCCCACCCACCCAATATCACTACTAGCCGCCACTGGTTAATATATTAAATGTATTTTCAGGCCTTAAAGAAGTGGTTTGCTAATTAAAATGCAAACACACTTTAGATTTAATGTCATTTTAATCCTTAGGGATTTTTGCATGCAGATGTTTTTGTATTGGGACACAAACAGTCTGCAGTATATGTCTCACTTCTGTGAGATAACACAGAAACAGTTTAGGGAACATTTTACAGAATAAGATTATTGTAATGTGCCTGCATGTACATGCATGGGTATTTCTTTTGCTGGTTATGAAAACTGCTGTGCGACAGTTGGACTGCTCAATTACCAGAATCCTGTGGGAGGCTGGCTCTGTCTGTACTGCAACAGCAACTGTGTAGTGAAACTCATGCGCACTCTAAAGTACTAAATGACTGGAGTGGACTAGGCTTTAAATTTGAATACATCCACCTTTTTAGGATCTCAGCTAACAATGGGTGAAATGCATTGTCCACCCAGGACAGGTTGGCAAAAATATGTTTATCCTCTGTTCACCTCCCTGTTTATCTCAGGCTGAGGAAAGTTGTTGTTTAGCAGTGCCCTGCTTAAATTCTTCACTTGGGTCTGTACAGTACAAGCATACTTAGGAACTGACTTTTCTCAAGGGTACTTCAGCATTAATTGCTGTATAGCTTACAAATATTCCCTGACCCTGTTTAGGATCCACCTTCTTTTATCTGACCTTCAGCTCTCTGATCTGAGTGACCTCTTCACTCCCTATTTGGGTCAAGTCTCCTTCACTTGCTCTTGTTATTGTAATATTTTTCATCAAAGTGTTTTTCCTTGCTTGTAAATCTGACATTTGTGAACTGTGGGATCAAAGATAGATCCTCCTACACTTCTACTGTTTGAATTTCCAGGCAGTAACTGACCTTAACCCTCAGGAGTATTAAGGCTGAGCTGTTAAGGGTTTAGCTTTACTTGGAATCACCTACATCAGATTAATAACCCCAGCTGTACTACCTAAAGGATTATATTCTCTGTTGCTCAGCCAATTTATCCATACACCCTGGTAAAATTGCATTTGTTAAACCTTCTGTTTTCCCCCTCTTTTTTTTAGTGAATGCTTATCTTCTATAGAAATATATCTGTTTCGTAAAAGATATAAAAAATAACAGCAACTTTTTTCCACCTCTCTTGTCTTCTGGTCTTATGTGACATTTCCAACCAATCAATATTTTGTTTGTGTGTGACATTTGTAAGAAGTTCATAATTTTTTATGGCTGTAGATTTAATGGTTTTGATCAGAGTGTACCAGAGAAGGTTGAACCAGTGATCCAGACTGTAGAAATCTCCAGATGACATGTGCTCATTACACACCTCGTATAGATGCGTTTCTGCTCCCTTAAAAAAAAAAAAATCTTTGCAGCCTTTTAAAATGGAGCCATGAAGCAAATACTAGAATGCTCATGGGGCCGTGGAAAGGGAAATTAAACCATGACCTTGAATTGGAAAGGTTGAGGCATTGTCAGGCTTGTAGTGTATTCCACAGAGCTGACAGTCTTGTTATAAATGAATCACAAAGGTAGTTACCAGTACACAAGGTCTGAGATTAGCATGTTTTGTATCAGGAGAGGTCTTTATTAGAAACCTAGATTGAATGTTAGAGTGGAACGGAGGTTAGAAGAGGGTACAGTCTGATGAAGTTGTAGCATTTCTCTTATTTTAGTCATTTTTGTCACTGTTTTCTGTTTTTTTTTTTTAAACATTGTGCTATAAAAAAGAAAGGCACTTGCTATAAATGTAGTGACTCTATCCATGTAACAATATTTATTTGTATATCAGTCAGTTTCAGCTCTGGTTACAAACATACATACATCACTGATTTATCCACTTCTAAAATATTCTAGAAAACAAGAAATTAAACAATTAAAGAAAAATATGATGTAGGAAACAGAAATGATCTGAAACAAGTATGCACAGGGTGAAGAAAACATTTGTAACGTAGCACACAGATGTAACAAAAACAGCTTGATTTTCCACATATATGCATACATATGGTGGTGCAGTACATGCATGAGACAGGGGTGAGGTGTGCAGTTAGAGTGACAGCTCAAAGTGGTGGTGGGGCTCCATCTTTTAGTTTGCAATGGCGATGAATGAGTTGACAAATGAGGCAACCAGATATCACGGCAAAGCGTGTAATAGACACGTTGGTCCACCGTGTCCATTTCACGCTTTGCCTCTCCAAATTGTGAAATCTACACACAGGCAGAAGTTGAGGTAAGTTGCAATAACAGCAGAGGGAGATTTTTTTTATTTCAAGCGAACACTAAAATGATCACAGGAAAGTGTTTAAACAGACATTATTAACACATTTACAAGTATATACACATTAGCAACCTAGCTTAATTGTTTACGGTGATTAAAGACCCTGGATTGTACTTCGTCTTTTGCTCACTACTGACTTCATGGCTTTAAATATATTATTTCCCCCCTGCTGGTAAAGCAATTTTTCCATGCATTAATGCAACTTTTCCACGCGTGTCCCTTACATGTTTTGAGCATGGCATAAATGCAGGGAGTACAAGTACTCAGGTCTACCATCCAAAGCAATGGACAGAAGGATAGCAGCAAAAAATAAAAGCAAGTGAGCAGACTGGACATGATTAGAAATGAGTACATCAGAGGGAAAACTCAGCTTGAGCTGTTTGGCAAACAAGAGTCAAGGCTGAGAAGCTTTGGGGCAGTCCTGGATACACTGGGCAAAGGATGTCAGAAGGAGAAAAAGAGTAAGACCTCATAGGAGGTTCATGGATGTAGTGGGTAATGACATATAGAGGTTTGGTGTGACAGAAGAGGATACAGGGATAGGGTGAGGCAGATATTCAGCATTAATTTCTGCTCTATATAAATAGAAGGAAGGCTATGCAAATATTGATCCAAACTGTGCTCAAGGTCTGGGGTCTGGTTTGTTTTTCTTAGTGGATTGTACTTCTTATTAATTTGTACCATACAGCCAACCAATGACAGGAAAACATATCTTTCTACAGTTCACACATTACAGTAACCTGTCAATTGTGATGGCTGATGAGCATTTTTTTCTGCAGTAATAAACTTGAAGCTGAAGTTTTGCATTAAATAGTTAATCCGCAGCAGTGATGTTAAAGTTAAGGAACATAAAAGCAGAGACGGAGCACAATTTTAAAAGTTGCCATGAGCTGTTTTTATATTGAAAAACTCAGTTAATTTATCTGGGGACAGGAGTACTAAATCCTTATTGTTGTGTTGTATTCAAAGTATGTATTTGCTTCTTATTTTATTAAATACATACAGGAATACAGGAAAGAGGCTAAGCCATCCATCTGCTTGTCTGCCACATACTGTATGTCCTGGCATACAGAGTTGCTCGATGTTTGTTTCAGTATGCTTATGTTCAGTTGCTTGGCTTATGTTTTATTTACCTTCATGCAAAGTTAGGGAAGCTTTAACCACAGTTAAAGCAGATTAATGTAATAGTGACTGTCTAAATTAATCCTAACTACAGGAAGTCTTCCATAAATAGCAATAGCACACACAGCAAAAGCTTCATCTACATACAGCCTACAATGTACACAAGCAGCTGATACCATTGCCGGCATTTCTATCTGTGCAGACTGTGTGGATAAGATATGGAGTTTCTAGGAAGCTACAAGTCATGTGATGGCATAAGGTATTAGAAAAGGTTATGATGTGCCTACAGCGTAGACGTAAGACGGAAGCATAAATGTACTCTTATTGGAAAAAAGCATGTTATTAATTAAGTCAGATAAAACAGGATGAAGAGAAACTAGGTAGGTGGGTTGCAAAGTGGCTTGCAGATGCACATCAATTTGCCAGTAGGATGCTTAGAAGGGTATCAGCTAAGCCATCAGATGATGTCGGCTGACAATGTGATCGCCTAACCTGTTAATTATGTTTAATTTCAAATTAGATTTTTACAAACATTTGCAGTACAATATTTTTTTAGTTGCTTTGGTTGACTCATTTAATTGTAAGACTTTGACATCTGACATGTGACAACTCACCTGTCTCATTTGTGGGATAACAACACACGTGCCATTGTTATTTTCATTTTAATTATGATAGCTTTGTTCTTTCACACAACAAGAAGTGTAAATGTGAACATGAGATGACAGTTTATCAAAATTTGAATTACGTCTTTGATGCCCAACAGCTCAGAAGCGGTTGAACGCACTGTAGAGGTATCCCATGGGAAGAGGTTTTTTTGGGCGACAATTCATTTCTGAAGCCATCCCAAGTTTTAATAAAAATAAATGCGCTACCTGTCGCCTTAGCTAATACAATATTCAGCTCTCAGTAGCAAAAGAAAAAGAGAGAGTCTTAGATGTGTCAGAGTGTAGGAGCTATTTTCCCAGGCTTTATTACTGAAGTTATTCAAAATGCTTTGAATAATTCAAATGAATGTCTTTCTAGACATATTAGAGTAAGTAGTTCACAAATATCTGCCGGCATAATTTGATTGCCAGTTTATTTTCCAGAACCAAGAGAACACACAGCAGGGTTTCATCTTTCCCAGACTTCCCCTAATCAAATTTTAACTGGCAGGTTATGAATTGTGCCAGACAGAATAGACCGCCAGTAAAACTCACTCAGAGGAGGAGGTACTTTGAAACTCAAATACAAGATGCTACAGGAGTGTGTGTTTTTCAAGTACCCACTATTCATTAAAAAAAAAGCTTGCATTATGATGCTCCCCACCTTTATAATAAAAGTTTTTTTTTGTTGTTGACTGACTCTGATTTGGTGCTACAACGATTAATAGCTGTATTCTATTCAGGTGGTGAGGTCAGGCTGTGTTGCATCACTGTAGATCTGCCAATTAGGAGAAAATGGGTGAGTTTTTTTTTTTAAATTGAAAAAATAAAACTAAATCTAATAGAGAGGAGGAAAGCTCATCCTTAAAACCATTCGAAAAGAGACGACGAGGATATATTTTTAAGCATGACGCTTAAATAGAAATTGCCAGTAGTTTTATTGCCCCTTCCATGCGGTTGATTTAATTAATTAAAGAGGGCTCGCTCTCTCCTTTGTCAATTGCTTTTCCCTTTAGGAAACCAAAGTTGTAACTTCTGAGAAAAATTCTTCGCACAATTATGCACATGCAGTACCACACCATCACCACTGTAGCGCAGTTCACAATCCCCTGCAACAGCTCCACACTCTGCACCACCTGCATTATTGAAATACGCCTGTCACTATCAAAGTGGGTCCGGCGAGATCAAACGACGGAAACAGCGGGAGGCCTCGTCTAGTTTGCAGTGGGCCAGTGCAGATGACTTTTTGGCAGCATTTGAGAAAAAGTTCTTCTTCTTCCGTTTAAAAGAACAGATATTGCTAAACAGAGGATGGGAACTGTTGCATTGTGGCACAATTGCTTACTTTACCACAAATGCTACATAGCATACAACTGTTGTATACAGCTGTGTGCACAAAAAATGTGTGCTTATGTATGCATTCAAAAAAAAATAGCAGAGGAGCACAGTTACGCTGATCATCACCAGCAGAAATGGAAGAAAGACACTTGGGAGAGGAGTTAAAAATCCACACACGTAATCCGTAGACACAAAGTTTTAAGTACACACGGATGTTTGTTTCCGTCTTCTATATAACGAGGAAGCAGAATGTGAGAGACCCGGTCTCTTTCCCACCACCTCGTGGTGCCAAGACTGTCACTTTGTTTTCGGCTTGGCAGGTGAGCACAGCTGTTCGACTGGCAAACTGCTGTCATCACACAGAGAATGGGAGGTGAGCGCGAGAGATGGGGAGTTCAGGAAGACAAGACAGCAGGAAAACGAGGGTCTAACTGTAAGAAAGAGAGAGTAATGGGGGGGGGGGGGGGAGGTTAACTAGGAGAGGCTTGAAAAACAACAGGAAAGATAGACATGGTGGAAAAAGATTAATAACAGTAATAATGTAACTTTTTTTGAAAGATCTATTTTTTCCCAAGGAAAAGTATATTTACATGTTCTGTTACATCAGAGGTTTGTGTGAGAATTTAGCTCACTAACAATGAGAATAAAGGACAGCTTGTGTGAAAAAGTGATGGAGAATGACAGAGGTCTTCAACCTTATTGTGATTCTGTGTTTTTCTTTAATCCTTTGTCATCTTTCTTGGGTATGCACAAAAACTAACTTGCAGTTGTCTGACAGATGCATGCATTTGTGGTTTTCTTCGCTGCTATTTATCGCTGCAGCATTTTTGTTCAACGACAGTAGAGCATAGGAAACACCTGAGACCACTGCTCTACTGTCATAGTCATCCTTCATCTCAGCAGGGCACAGATCTGTTAGTGTGTGTTGCAGAGGAAGATGGAGGTCAGCTTTACAGAGGTGAAATGTGAAAGCTTCTTCAGTAACTTCAACTTGAATATAAGTATACGCCTGGCTAATAAAATAAGTGGTCATTCTAATCAAAAGCCAAAATGACAGGTGAAAACCCCAGAGAGGCAGCTTGTTACAAACTGGAATTATATTTGATTGCAGGAGAAATGGAAACTCCTAAAATAAAGTGGTAAAGGTACAAGATGGAAGCAACTTAATTGTGGGAAACTTAGGTATGAGGAAAATTCAAAAACACTCTTGGGGTTGCCTATTCCACATCCCTATGGAAATCTATCTGCCCATCTACCACACACCAAGACAAATCAGATTGTATTTTAAGTGCAATTAAAGGAGCAGTCTGATTTATTTTTTTTTGTCTGTCTGCGGCGTGACCTATCCCCTCACTACAAATGATTATCCTCACATGACTTACATTTGTTTACTTGATATTTTGAGCCCTGTGTCCCTTTGAAGAGCAAAAAAGGGGGAACCTATTTGCAGACTTATATAAATTTGTATATTGTTGATACTTGAAAAACATTTTATGATCTGCAAGAATGCATTTTTCTTTGTTCAAGTCTTCAGTCCTCCTGAAATATGTTTAAATTCAAATTTGGCAAATAGATTGTTTTCCGAGCAGAAGGGGATAAACTGACTTGTGTCCAGTTTATCAATTTTATGTTCAACACTTTATCCTTAGTTTTTCCTGAGGCACATCTTGTGGAATGATATTTTGTAAAGATGAAATTTTGGCCTTTTGTATTATCTTAGTTTAGTGTATAATTCTGTCATATGTACACTGCAGTATATACTAACAACAAACAAAGCCATTAGTCCATCCATTAGTTTAGATTATTGTGCTTCTTGCTTATTTGCCTGTAGTTGCATATTGTGGTTAGGATTCAGTGGTGTGTAAGCCAAATGTTTTTCTTCCAAGTCCTGCTGAGTGATCCCCAAACACTCCTACTCCACAGAGTTCCATTCTTCCTCAGTTTTCCTTCCTAATTGTCCCTCCTGGAATACTTTCAGAGGGAGGCAGCAGGGGGAGAATCCCTGGTGTTTACCCAAATTTAACTGGTTCCTTTTCATTATACAAGAGCAGTGGCTTGATATCTAGGGCTTCCCAAATTAATGAACTCTCTCACTCTGTCTCATAGTTAGACCAGCTACCCCATCGATAAATATCATCTTAGCTGCTTGTCTGTGAAATTGTTCTTTTAGTCACCGCCAAAGGCTTGTCGCCATACATGAGGGGTTTACTGATGATTGTAAATTGCTGGGAGGCCTCAGAAACCATCAGCCGGTTGAGTGATAGTTTTTCTTCCAGCATCCCTTCTGAATAAAACTATATATTCATATTCACATGTATAACTGGAACTTTTATGGGCAATTTTGTTGATATAAGCTACCCCCATATATCTGTTTCATAACTCACTACATTTTTTATTTCAGATATTCCAGATTCCAATATTTTCCACATCAGTTTTTGAGGCTTAACTGATGTAACCTGTAGTTGAAACTCTCTGCCAGGTCTGGCTATTGACTGAGAAAATGGGCTCAGGAGTTGGGGATGTTTTTCTCCATTAACTGTGCATCAATAGCACTTCCAATGCATGCCAGAGCTAATAAGTGACCAGCTGGTGCTTAGAAACCAGGCACCTGAAGCCTTGTCAGGAAACATGCAGTCAGAGTCTAGCCCCGCTACAAAACAAATTTCTAGTGACAGCATGAGATACACTTAAAACAGAGAGGACCATGGCACTTCACGTCTGTCTTCTCTATTAATTAGCAGTAGGTGCGCCAATGGCACAAGTGTACACTGTTGACAAAGAGTGCAGGCACCTGCAACTGATTAGTTTTTCATTGAGATAAGGAGAAGTGTCAAACTGTGGCCATTCTTTTCTTGCACAATGGAAAATCCATATAGTCAGAGTAGAAGGCAAAACTGCCCTTTATTACTATGAACCCCCCCAAAACTATATTTCCAGTTTTATTTGGTTTAATGTTTTTTATGCAATTATGCTTGTTACATTGTATACATAATTTAATGTGGATAATAAGTGCAGCTGTTCGGTAATGAGCATGTGGCAACAAGTCTGTCATGGACGTGCATGTTCCTTTCCAATAGAGCTGATGGAAATGCCAGAAAAGCTTATAAAAAATATTCTGCAGTAGAAAACTGCTCTTCACAATTAACTGTTTAACAAGTGTCCTGCTGCCCAACTCTAATGGGTTTATTTTTCACCTAGGGTTCGGTATTTGTATCTAATTAACACTGCAATTTCTCTCCATTAAAAATGTGTGCTCAGCTATCTGCGCTTGTTTTCTCTGCAATGTGTACAAATCATAACAGGACTGGCTGAACATGACTTTGGAGCAGTAAGGCCACAGTGATCTTTAGCTTCCTGTGCAGTGCCAGCGTAGCATCGCACAGCAGCAAAACTCGAGCTGGCTCAGCTGCAGTGGAAGAAAATGTGATCTGTCAAGATTCTGCATTACCCAGAGAAATAAACACAACATTCTGGCCATATTGTGCATAATAGTAATGATGAAAATTAAAGTGGTATTGTGAATTCCTGTGGTAATATTTAAACCAGTCTTTTTCTTTTTCCCTTTAGTCAAAATCCATATTAAGGAAAATTTGTCAGACCACATTTCCTCTTGCAGATATAACCTTCCAGGCTATACAGATGTAAAAAAAAAGAAGAAAAAAAAAGAGAATATCAATCAGTCTATAAATCAATAAATAAATACTGGATATTAAGTGGATGTGAGAGTGCACAACTTACAGCAGGTAAGACCATTTTCATTCTGCTGTTTACCCTTGCAGAGTTTCTACATCTATCCTCCCCTCCAGATAGGTCAGACTGTCCTTGAGGTTTCCACAGAGGCACAACAGAAGATGGCAAAGCAAAGATGACCAGATGATCATGCTTTTGGAAGGCTCCGCTGGGCCTAATGCTTTAAGGTTTCCAAAGCACTAAGACCTTTATAAAGAAGAAGGTAATGCACACAAGAATCAATCACAATCCATACTAAAACCTGATAGCAGGTTTCAAAATGATCCACGAGAAATCTTGGTTATCCTTTTGCTGTGAGCCATTTTATGCTTTGAGAAAACTCTCTGGGAAAAATGATCACGAATGGTTAATGTTAATGGTGCAACATGTTACGGAAGTTCAAATGTAAAAGTGGAGAGCAACATGAAATCCAGTGAATCATGTGCTAGGATCCCTAATCTTACTGACCCCACTTTTCTGACCTGAAATGTGATCCTAGAGAGTGGTACAGGAAATGTTTTGCCTTTGCCTGGAACAACCAGCTTTGAAATCCCACGCCAATGAAAGTCTCCTCTTATCTTTCCTCATGAATTTTAATACAGACACAAAGATTACATTTCTGTAGATGCAGCAAAGCCAGAGGAAAGAAATTGCCAAGATTCAGATTGTATGCATTCGAAAGAACACTTATTGTTTTCTATGAATATATCAGCAAACCCAGGGATGGATAAAGCAAAATGAAATCGTTCTTCTAAAAATGGATAAGTGAAAATGGTGAATCTTAATACATCTCTTTCCTAGATTCAAAATACATAATAAATCTACTTTCCAACTTTTATCTTAGATTTAGAGATAATAAATTGTTGATACTGTGATCACAATGTTCAAGTTCTCTCTTAGAGTACAAATTTGTATGACTACTACTTCCTGTAGAAGGATTATCTCAGTGTTAAGGTTCCCCTTTTATGCTGATTTAATAGCGGATGATTTTATTAAGTTTGAATACTCTTGTCTTTCTAAACCCTTCCTCCTGTAATGCCCAGTCTGCTGCGATTGGTCAGCAGGCCTGGCAGAATGCACCATCAGTCACTACTGTCTGTGAACCACAAAAAGCTGCAAAACATCTGAGTTCACCTATTAGTGGTGTGCAATCATGCAGATTTTGGAATCAATCTGATACCAAGGAAAAGCGGGGAGATGAATCATCATCAATCTGCAAATTCTCCAAAAGTTTTAAGGACCACTAAGTCACTGATTTTTTTTTTTTTTATTTTAACTTTCTACAACAATTAGTTAACACAACTAAACACACCTTTCAGCTTTACATGTGTTTTTAAACTGTTTTCAGAGAGCTGAAAGGTTAATGTGGCTCTAATTTCTGATTTTTTTTTTTTTTTTTTTTACACAGTTCAGTGGGCTACATTCTGAACTCAGAGGATAGAAACAATGTGTTGATCAGATTGTGCTAATATCGATCTCATACCAGTACCAGTGTTGGTGTCAATACTATCGATATTTGGATTGATCCACCCACCTCTGTCCCCTATACTTGGTTTGAGCCAGAACAAAGAGAGATTCTAGTAGTTGTGGTGTTGTGTTGTTTCTATTTCCAAAATGACTTGCATTATGTCAAGTCTAGCCAATCATGAAGGCCAGATTACACAGAAACTACTGAGAGGAATGTCATGAAACATGGTTGAGAGGTAGAGAATGGGGAAAAATGGAAAACCTTAAAATCTTTCTCACCAGTTGGGATCATTTTAGTAAGAATTGCACAACTAGGAAATGCTACGGTGGCCCTGAGAGGCCAAACAGGCTGCAGCTTAAGAAAACACCAGCTATAAGAAAATTGCTGCAAAAGCACATATAAAAGAAGTGGAGGATCTATCGGTTTTGTGAGGAAAGAAAAGATGAGAGGTAAGTGTGTTAGCCTAACTATTAGCCTAAAAATCCGTCATCACTATTATATGAATCATGAGATTAAAACACTCTTACCTAGCATGTTTTGGTTCCTGCAACTGGTCCGTCGGGTTATTCTCTCTATACGGGGAAGGCTAACAAAGCGGCCAGCTCGGTGTTGGCTGGAGTATAGATTAATGCATTTTAACAATGCATTTAAAATGCATTTAAAAACTCTGCATAATGTTCTACTTCTCGTTGTGCACAATGTGGTCACCTTGCAATGTACAATATCAACAACTGCAGGTTTTCCCATATCTTCACACTGCATCAAACGCCTTTCTTTGTTGCACTGCTGATCGGAGGATGCCTGTTTGTCTTGTGTAATATCCCCAGAAGATCAGATGCTCTCAATTTTTTCCTTTTAGCATCAGTGGCACAGGGTCACCTTGTCCTTGAAGTTGAAAACAAGTTTCACTTAGCCACCAAGCAGCAGCTGTGTGTCAGGAGAGGCTTTGCTCTACATTTGGAAACCAGCTCAGGGACCAGCGAGAGCATCTTTACCAACACAACCATATGACAAGGAAAATGGCTGCCAGCCCCCCACACACCCCCCCCCCCACACACACACACACACACACACACACACACACACACACACACACACACACACAACAATTGTTTTGTACAAACATGGAAAGACATAAAACCACCTTCTGGCCTGCTCATCTGTTCCCAGTTGGCTTTTTCCCCAGTTCATATATAACTGAAAAAAAAAATGAAGCTTTTTTGTGACTGTTAATACTTGTGGCAATTTCTTCACTTTCTGACGCTCAATTACTGACCCCTGAGAGAAATGGATGGAAGATTGCAAAAAAGAAAAGAAAGGCAGCGACCTCCTTCTCTCAGTGGAGGTTCAACTCATTTGATAGTTTCACTCCCTTTGGAGCAACGCTGGTCTCTGGAAAGGCCCATATGCCTCAATGGGTGTGAGATGATACGATTTCCCATCAGAGAGAGAGAGACTGCGTGTGTGTGTGTGTGTGTGGGTTTCATGCCACCTCTGCAGCTATGAGCACCATTTAGATTACTTTCACCTCATCAGCCCACATTCACTTGGCTAAGACCTTTGGGACATTTTCTCATGAGGATAGATGTTTTCGCAACACACACACACACACACATAGACACACACACGTCTTGAAGTGTTTGTTTTGTCTGCATGTGGCATCAGAAGGAGAGAGGAAGAAAGGGGAGAAGGGTAAATGAGGGTGAAGAGGAAAGAAAGCAATGTCAAAAGAAACCGAATACACATTAACAGAGAGAGTCAAGCACGGATATCAAGACTTATATTCTTTTGGTAGTTGTGAGTTTATAATGAAATAAATAGTAGTGGTACAACACAAAAGTCCCAGTTTGGTATGGATCTCAGATTTGGAGTCATGGTTCAGTATTTTTAGACTCCTGCTCCTATTCGGGCTGTGTTTTGGGGCTTTAGAAAATCTGGCATGAATTAAGCAGAGTGACATCACCTGGAAAGGGCAGAGCTTGGTTCACATGTAAAGCTGGGGCTCAGCATTGATTCATTTTAGCACCTGTGTGCGTTTTGTAGGCGGGGCTTAGAACACAGAGGGGAGAGCTCTTTTGCTTCAGGCTCTCGTATCTGTGACAGATGATTTTCTACCAGCTTGTGACAATAAAATCATGTTACAGATGGCTTCACAATCTTTTGTAGGAGAAACTGGAAAGACAACATGAACTTCAAAATATTTAGTAAGCTGAAGGGTGTGGACTAGACACAATGTCAGAATCCTTAGCATACAAGATAATACTTTATGCACAATGTTAGCACAACTTGTTGAATTGTATTCACACTCAGCTGCAGCTTTGTAAGACACGTTTATCTGCTTGTTATTAAAATAATCCATAATCCACCAATTAAATGGCCAACTCAGTTTATTTATTCATGTAGACATGTAATCAAGATGAGCTGTTAATGTTCAAAACAAGCGTCAGAGTGGGGAGGAAAGGTTGTTGCTACCAACAGGTAGGTCGGAGTATTTCAGACACTGATGATCTACTGGGATTTTCCTGCACAACCATCTCCAGGGTTTACAGGGAATGGTCTGAAAATTCAACTAAGGTATTAGAAGAGTTTCTCTGAATATACACATTCAACCGCATTGAACATCAAAGCAGATGAGCTACAGAACACATTAGGTGCCACTCCTGTCAGCTAAGGACAGGAGACTGAGGCTATGGTTTGCACAGGAAAAATGTCAACTGCTCTGATGAATCTCAAGTTCTTCTGTGACATTTGGATATTAGGGTTAGGATATGGTGTAAACAACATGAAAGCATGGATCCATCCTACCTTGTATCAACAGTTCATGGTTGTGGTGGTGGCATCATGGTATGGGGAATATTTTCATGGCACACTTGGGGCCTCAGTCTGTACACAGTCTACCCATCTTCTGATCTCTCCTTCCAGAAGGACAATGTGTTCCATCACAAAGCTCAGATAATCTCAGATGGATTATTTGAACATGATAATAAGTTCACTGCAGTCAAATGGCCTCTACAGTCTCAAGATCTCAATCCAATTTGAGACTGGTAAGTGTTGGAATGGTAAATTCCCATCATGGATGTGTAGCTAACAATGTGCAGCAACTGTGTGATGCTGTCATGTTGATGTGGACCGACATCTCTGAGGAATGTTTCCAGCACCTTTGTTGAATCTGTGCCATGAAGAATTAAGTCAAAGGGAGTCCCAGCTGGTACTAGTAAGGTGTATCTAATAAAATGATCAGAGAGTATATATAGCATTAGTTCACAACAAGGCCATCTCAAAGTGCTTTATATTATAAAGTAAACTCCCAGAATTTTAAAGAGACCACTGCAAGCAATTGATGGAAAAAAAATAAATCAATTTTAACAGGATGAGTCTCACCAGCCTATTTGGCCTCTGTTGTTACTGGTTGAGATGGTGAGGAACAGCATAGAGAGAAAAGGGAAGACATTTGATAAAATGATATGAGTTAATGAGTCAGCATAAATGTACGTGCCAAATAATTAACAGCAGATAGAATTGAATCAGTTTAAATAGTCTATATGGTGCCAGCATCACGCTGTGTCTCTCACCTAGTCATTAGAACATCATGAGAAAGGCCAGCACTCACTGTTGTTACATTTATTGTATCTGAATATACGCTGTTGAGTTTAAAACATGAAGCAGAGGCGATTACCTCCATCAGTATGAGGCTTGACTGCAAAGTCCACAGTTTCAAATGCACACAAAGTGCTAACTTCAGTC